CGCCTCTCCCCAGAGCCCTGGGAAGGAGCAATATGGCCACTGTCCTGTGAAGCTGCCACTCAGCAAAAGCTCTGAGTGCCCTCCAGATCCTGAGTGTCCCCACACAGTTCCAGTCCAGTCTGCCCTCCCTCTGCTGGAGCCAAAGGTGAGTGGCTGTGGCTTTTTTAGCCTCTGTCCTGGCTCTGTGCTGTGGAGCCGCCTGGGAGTGTAACCCGAGGGCGCTGCTCCCAGCTGAGGCTGCTTCCGAGCTGCTGACTGTGGCCTCCCAGCCCCCGTCTCACGCCTTCGAAAGCCTACCAGGATTGAGTCAGTGTCCCTGGTTATATGGTTCTCCAAGCTTTTCTGTTGCTTTTTCCCGTCGATTTGTCTGTGTTATAGTTGTAATTCCAGTTTGGTTCTGGGAGATGGTCTGTGTAGATTCCGTTCACTCCACCGACATTTTGGAATCGTCAGAAAGCTGTTTTTAGCTCTCTATTTTAAGTTGATGGTTGCTTAAATTAGAACACATCCTAAAGTCTCTACAATTTTTACTCACCTCTCTATGTTTGTCTTTATTTATTTTTTACTTCTTTTGTGCATGTGTGTCTGTGTGTACCCTTCAATTTCCTCTTGTGATTAAACATGATCTTCCTATTTTTGCTTTTAACTTTTGTTCTAGATTTATCCTTGGTTGAACCACTGCCTTTTACTAAGTGTTTGCCCTTGTCAGAGAGAATTTCTTTCTTTCCTATATTTTCTTTCTTCAGCAAGAGAAAATTACCAAATTTAATAATATACATTTTTAACCTCACATACATGAGAACGTTAGAGATGCTACATGCATCAGAGTCTCAGAGACAGAAAAGGGGATTGAGGTATATAAGACGATCTGAGCTAGGGATGATCAGTGTGCCTTGGGGGTTTTAAAAGATCACTGCAGGATGAAAATAAGAGCAGATGTTTAGTAAAGTTTCCCTTGCCATGTTAGTGGGCTAAAAAGGTTATTTCTTATAATCCTTAATATATATATATATAAAATATATATATATATATTTAATCTTGTATATTTTTCTTAAAGAAGGCTCTTTAACATTTCTTGTGATATGGGTTTAGAAGTGATGAACTTGTTTATTTTTCTTCTTGTCTAGGAAAGTCTTTATCTCTCTTTTGATTCTAGTAATACCCTTATTGGGTAGAGCAATCTTAGTTATAGGTCTTTGTTTTTCGTAACTGAACATTTTATGCCAGTCTCTCTGCCCTGCAAACTCTCTGTTGAGAAATCAGCTGACAGTTTGATTTACTCTGTAACTAACTGATTTTCTCTCACTGCTTTAAAATTTTCTCTTTGCCTTTATCCTTTAGCATTTTAATTATGATATGTCTTGGTGTGAGCCTCTCAGTTCATCTTGTTTTAGACCCTCTGCACTTCCTGGTCTTGTGTGTCTATTTCCTTTGCCAGGTTAAGAAAGTTTTCTGTCATATTTTTTTTCCAAAAGCTTTTCAGTCCTTGCTCTCTCTATTTTTCCTCTGGTATCCCTATGATATGAATGTTGATATGTTTGATGTGGTCCCAGCGGTTCCTTAATCTATCCTTTTTTTTTTGTAAAATTGTTTTTTTTTTCCTGATGGTTTGATTGGGTGTTTTCTGGGACCTTGTCTTCCAGATCACTGATGTAATCTAAATTATTGTTTATTCCCTCTAATATATTCTTCATTTTTAGTTATTGTATTCTTCATGTCTCACTGGTTCTTTTTTGGTTTTGCTTGTTTTCTATCATCATTTTTTCTTTCCTGTCTTTTTGTTGAAGTTCTCACTGAGTTCATCTATTCTTCCTTTAGTGTTTTGAACTCTTTATGTGATAGATTGCTTTTCTTCATGTTGTTTAATTATTTCTCTGTAATTTTGTTCTGTTTTTATTTTGGGTACACATTTCTTTTTCTCCTTGAACTAGCAGACTCCCTGCATTTGCTTATATGTTTTAGGTATATCAGCTAGGTCTCCTCGTCTTGGCAGAGTGGGTTTATGTAGTATGTGTCCTGTGGTGCCCACTGGCAAGTCTCTATGGTCACCCGAACCATGTGTTCCAGGGGTTTCCCTTTCATGGGTTATGTGTGCCTTCTTGTTGGAGTTAATTCTCAGTTGCTGTTGGCTTGTCAGTGGGTGGGATTGACCTTCAAGCTAACTGGCTTTGAGGAATGATCATGACTACAGCAGATTGGCTGTAGTTCAAGGACCATCCCTACAAAATGGGATTTGCTTTAACAGGGCTCTGGTGCCTGCTGTGTCTGCCCTTTGGGTGTGTCTTTTTTGGAGCTGGTTGGGTGGTGCTCTGGTGTGGTCTAAAGCCAGCCACTGGGTGTGTTGATTCTGGGACCTCATTAGAGGGATTTTTGGGCAGGCCAAAGTCAGCTGGGGCCACCTGGTGGGATGTACAAAGTAATCTGCATTTGATTGCCACCTTTGATGTGCCTGGAGGTACCTGGGGTTGGCCAGGCTGTGATCTAAGGCTGGGTTTGAGGCTGCTTAGCACAAGGTAAAGGACATGCCCAAAGTGAGCTGCTGCTTGTTTGAGGTTTCTGCACCTTTGAAAGATTTTAAGAAAGTCTGCAGTGTAAGCCAAGGATAACTTCTTATGTGGGAAAACTGCTGGGAAAGGTCCAGGCAGGGTGTATGAGTCTGGTGGGGTGGGGAGTCAGGGAATCATCAGGGTGAGGCAGAGGGTGTTAGCCAACTTAATGGAGAGGTTAGATATGGCACCTGGGTATGCCTGCTGGCTGGGTAGAGAAAGAGCTCAACAAAGGAACAATAGTGTTTGCCCCCAGAGAGAGCTTAGCCCCTGACCCTCCAATGTTCACCCTGAAGCTACTTAATTCAGCTCTTCCTTTCATGTATCTGGCACTTTTCAAGTTGCTGTTCTAGTGCTGAGTTCAGAAAGAATTAATTTGTGAGTGAGCCTTTGCCTGGTCCCTTTGAAACCTGCAGCCTCTAGGTCTCCATCTGATTTTCCTTTCACTCAGCTGTAATCCCCATGGGTTTTCAAAGCCAAATTTTATGGAGACTTCTCTTCCTGGCCCTGGAGACCTGGACTGGGGACGTTGCTGTGAGGCTGCAAACCCTCGCTCCTCAGAGAGGACCTTGATTGTGGAATCATCCTGTTCAGCATCTCGGTGCTTATCATTAGTTTTGTTGTGACTTCCTCTTTTTATACTTAGTTATAGGACTTCTGTTCAGCTAGTCTTCAGTTGGTTCTTTTTGATGGTCTGCAGTTTGCTTGTAATTTTGATGTGCTTGTGGGAAAATGTGAGCACAGCATTTACCTATCCCCACCATCATGACAGCAAGCCAGCCTAGATTTATTAATGATTAAGAGAACTGTGTAGCCCTGGCCAGTTTGGCTCAGCGGTTAGAGCGTTGGCCTGCGGTCCGGAGAGACCCGGGTTCGGTTCCCGCTAAGGGCACGTACTTCGGTTGCAGTTTGTCCCCGGCCCTGGTTGGTCGTGCGGGTGGCAGCCACTCGATGTGTCCCTTCACGTCGATGTTTCTCACTCTCTCTCCCTTTCTCTCTCTCCCTCCCACTCTATCTGTACAAAAAATGGAAAAATATCCTCGGGTGAGGATAAAAAATAAATAAATAAATAAATAAATAAAAAAGAACTGTGTAAAAAGCCCTTACTATGATTGTTAATTTCTATTTATAATTCTGTTACAGTTTATTTTATACATTTTGTTGTTATGCTATTAGTTACCAGCAAGTTTAGAATGCTTCCATTTTTCTGATCAATTAAATATTTATCAATTATTGATAAATATTATGTTTAATTTTTGTCTTAAACATTTTTATATTAATGTGACTATTATATTAATTATATCATATCATATGATATCTCCTTTTGGTTTAGTAATTTACTGATATATATTTTAATTATTTGATTCTTAATATGTATATGTCTTTGTAATATAAGTGTTTTAAAAATGTAATTTGCGCCCTTCCAGTGTGGCTCAATGGCTGAGCATTGACCCATGCACCAAGAGGTTGCTGGTTCAATTCCCTGTCAGGGCACATGCCCAGGTTGTGCGCCTGATCTCTAGTTCGGGGGCATGCAGGAGGTGGCCAATGATGTTCTCTCTCATCGATATTTTTCTCTCTCTCTCCCTTCCTCTCTCTCTAAAATCAATAAAGAAAAAGAAAATATATATAGATAATTTGCATGGAGTTAATTTTTATACAGTCTTTGTCATTTGGGCTATTAATAATTTGTGATTATTGACATATGCAGACACATTTCCACAATCATATTTTATTTCTTTTGTCTTGCTTTTCATATATTTAGCCTTATAAAAGACCACCTTTACTCATACTACACACATGCTGCATTTTGTAAATATACAGTGTGGTTTATGGGAAAGGTCAGATACATGTAAATAGCAAAGTGCAAATAGTCTCCAAAGACCTAGGGGAACAGCATCTCTTTTTTCTGTATCAGAGAACTCAAACCATTGCATTTTTTTTTCTGTCAGTAATCTTATGCAGACCTGCTGGAAATGATTGAAAATCTCAAATTGCTACTTTTTATGCTTTTCAAAAATAGCTAGAAATGTGTGTGAACACTCAATAAGAAGAAATTTTAGAGAAAATTTTATGATTTTTGTCCCTTTAAGTGAGGACATATTCTTAAAATTGTTCACTATTATAGTAGTCAGAGTTCTATGTTAGTCCAGAAGTCTTAGAGGTTTAATTAGAAATTTGAGTTCTGGTTCTTACCCTTATACAATCTTGGCTTCTTAACTTTTGACCCTTAATTTCTATATGTGTAACTGGAAGATAACCATAACCTGATTATTATATTATTGATTAATATGTAAAGGCCCTAGGCTTATAACTAAAATTTATTAAGCATTTGATAAACCTTAATCTTCTTTTGTCCTTTCACTTAAGCACTTTTGGAAACATTTTATATGTATTTAAAATGTGGTAACAGTGATTTTCATTAGTGATTAAGAAAGAGAATTTGTCTTTCAGTATGAGTATATGGGCTCTGAAGTGGCTGTCGCAGCTGAGAAAGTTGTTTATATCATTGGTGTTATCAACACTGTAAGTGTTTATGTTTCATATTTTAAATGAGAAGTATTCTTATTAATGTAACAACATTGTTTGTGTAAATAGCACTTACATTTTTATAATAAGTATAACTTCACCAACCAGTTTCACCACCAATGAATTTCATCTCCAAATAACAGTAAATGGAATATATTAGCATTATGTATAGAGATCTAATGTTATATTTGTGGTTACCTAAACTGTATATCATGTATCTTGTGCTTTCAGATGTTTTCCCAGCTGAAAGTGACTATTATGCTAACATATTTGGAGCTCTGGTCAGATCAAAATAAGATTTTATCTAGTGGGGATGCTAATGAAATACTACAAAGATTTGTGTCATGGAAAAAAAATTTTTTGTCTCATAGGTCCCATGATTTGGCATTCTTATTAATGTAAGTATCTTATTTGTATCGGTATAAGGTTTATTAAATCATTTGATATATTAGCTATCAAAATTATACGCAAAATGTGCCCTGGCCAGTTTGGTTCAGCGGTTGAGCGTCAGCCTGCGGACCAGAGAGTCCTGGGTTTGGTTCCCTCTAGGGGCACATACCACACAAAAAAAATAAAAAATAAAAATAAAAATAAATGATATGTTAATTAGATTCACAATAAAAAAAAAAAGCCCTGGCCTGTTTGGCTCAGCGGTTAGAGCATCGGCCTGCGGTCCGGAGAGACCCGGGTTCGGTTCCTGCTAAGGGCACATACTTCGGTTGCAGTTTGTCCCCGGCCCTGGGGCCCTGGTTGGTCATGCGGTGGCAGCCACTCGATGTGTCCCTTTCACATTGATGTTTCTCTCTCTCTGTCTCTTCCTCTCTCTCCCTCCCCTCTATCTGTACAAAAAATGGAAAAATGTCCTCGGGTGAGGATAAAAAAAAATTATACACAAAATGTTATATATAATGACTAAAAAGGGGTATGAGTACAGTTTTGGCAAAGTGCAAAATAAAAAAAATCAGGTAACAAGGTAATATGATAAACCATATTAGGCCATTATTTTCAGAGTGGACTATTTTCCTATGGAAATGTAATGAACTGGAAAAATATAAAGTCTAGGAATAAACATGGGCCTCTGACATAGATTTCTTAAATGCAAAAAACTGAAATTATCATTTTAACATTAAATTAATTATAAATAAGTTAATAGAAGGCAATAATTGCATATAAAGCTGGTTACAATGTAAAACATTAAAATAGTAATGTGGTTACCTTCTGGTATTCCTACATTAACCTAAGTGATAGCTATTTAATTACTTACACTATACCTTTTGAGAATCTATATATAGATTTTTGTTTTAATAATTTAATTATTTTAGATGGAGAAAAACAATTCTGAAGTCTTAAGCAGTATGGATTATATTTCTAAATCTATTGGTGTCACCTGTGGAATCTAAGGTCAGGTTTAGGAATCTAGAAGCAACATTAACTAAGGGCTAAAACAAGTGAGAATAGTTTATACATCCTATCTCGCTTTTTCTTAGTGAGTCTATTACATATTCTGTCTCTATTTGTCCTCCAATCCAACATTTTTACATACTTTAAGGGTTTGCTATGTGCAAATCGTGGCAGTAAACTATTCTGACTTTTACATCCTAGAATTATATCCATCCAGTGGTGACATTTTTTGGAAGGATTAGGCACTGTTGGGTTCTGGAATGTGTGTTAAGTAATGTTAAAATATTTGTTAGATCTAACTGTTTAGAAACTATGGGAGATTACTCAAACACAAAATAATTAAATGCATTGGACATGATATGGAATATTCATGTTTTAAAGAAAACGTAGCTCTATTGAGAAATCCAATTCTTAAAAGGTCATTAAGTTAACAATACTTTAAAATGTAATTATCAACAATAATTTATTGTTTAGTTATAGAGATTATCCTAATTATGTGGGAGCAACATATCATGGAATGGCATGCGATGCAAAGCTTGGTGCAGGAATTGCTCTGGTATGCATTTTATTCTCATTTCTTCAGAAGTTATATACTATTTTGAAAGTTAATATCCATTTCAAGGAAAGAAAGTACATATAATCTGTAAGGAAGAGAGATCTTTTATCCTATGAGATGACATGGTGGGAACTAGAAAGCGTTGACACTCTCCTCCCAACCTCCCCTCCCCCAGCATTGTTGTCTATGTCCATTGGGCTGAGAGTTTTTAATAAAAAATGGGTGCTGAATTTTGTCAAATGCTTTTTCAGCATGTATTGATATGATCATATGATTTTTAACATTCATTTTGTTTCTGTGGTGAATCGCATTTATTGATTTGCCAATATTATACCAGCCTTGCATCCATGGGATAAATCCAATTTACTTGTGGTGTATAATTTTTAAAAATATATTTCTGGATCTGATTTGCTAACATTTTGTCTAGGAATTTTGCATCTACATTCATCAGGGATATTGGCCTGTAGTTTTGTGGGTTTTTTTTGTAGTGTCTTTATCTGGTTTTGGGATTAGGATTATTCTGGTCTCATAAAAAGAACTTAGAAGTATTCCTCTTGAATTTTTTTGGAATAGTTTGAGGAGAGTAAAATTGGTCTAAGGAATGTTTATAGTGCACTATCTGCTAATAAGCAAATCTGTGATGAAAAAGGAAACAAAGCAACATACTATCATGAACATATTTTTGAAAAGATTGACACCTCAAGCAGGTCCTTCAGGCAGTATTCCAGAAGAAGGCATTGTTATCAGAGGAGATGACAGCTCCAAGCATGCTCTAGTTCCTGATGACTTTCTTGTAGGACAAGATGTGGAGGTGAAAACAGAGATATTGATGATCCTGAGCCTGTGTAGGGCTCAACAAACGTGGTGCTCCTGTCTTCATTTTACACAGAAAGCTTAAAAATTAAAAAACAAAAAACAAAAAAGCTTTCAAATAAAAAAGCACATGCAATAAGAATACAAAGAAGTTATTTTTGTACAACGGTACAATGTGTTTGTTTTTAAGCTAAGTGGTATTAAAATTTTTCAAAATTTATAAAGTAAAAATGCTAAAGTAATCTAAGGTTAATTTCTTATTGAAGAAACAATATACTTTTATAAATTTATTGTAACCTAAGTGTATAGTGCTTATAAAATCTACAGTAGAGTACAGTAACATTCTGTGCCTTCACATTCAGTCACCACTCACTCACTGACTCCCACAAGCCGCTTCAGTCCTGCAAGCTACATTCATGGTAAGTGCTCTCTATGCTTTATACTATATTTTTACTGTGCCTTTTTATGTTTAGATATGGTATTTGTATATTTAAACATATTATCGACAGTATTCAGTACAGTAACATGCTGTACAGGTTTGTAGCCTAGGAGCAATCGGCTATGCCATTTAGCCTGGGTGTGTAGTAAGCTGTAGCATCTAGGTTTCTGTAAGAGTCCTCCATGATGTTCACACAAATGCATGAAACTGCCCAACAATGCATTTCTCAGGATGTATCCCAGTCATTAAGTGACGCATAACCCTATGTGACAAGTCACTTTTCTTTGGCTGCCTTAAAGATTCTCTGTCTTTGGTTTATGATAGTCTGATTGTAATGTGTCTTTTTATGCTTCTTTTTGGCTTTAACCTAGTTGAAGTTCATTGAGATTTTTGAATCTCTGTGTTTGTTTCCTGCCTCAGGTTTCTGGCTTTTTTGAGCATTACTTCTTCAGTTAAGCTGTCTGCCCCTTTAGGAGACTCTCATAATCCATATATTGGTCTGCTTGTCAGTGCCCATAGGCTCTATTTATATTTTTCATTCTTTTTTCTTTCTGTCCTTGACTCAGTGATTCCAAATGACCTGTCTTTAGGACTGATTCTTTCCTCTTCCTGATTAAGTCTGCTTTTGAATACCTCCAGGGAATTTTTAAGTTTATTTACTGTATATTTTAGTGTGATATGAAAAAAATAGTTGATATCTTTTTTTGATATTTATACATAAAATTTATTTCATATTTTTAAGGCTGGTTTATCATTTGAAAATCATTTAATGCAATCTATTTCATCAATAGATAAAGAAGAAAAATCATATGATCATATAAATTATTTCCAAAAAAGCATTTGATAAAAACCAACACCATTTATGATTAAAAAATATGGCAAACTAGGAATAGAAGGGAACTTTCTCACTTGATAAAGAACATTTACAAAAAAAAGCCTATATAGCTAATATCACTACTTTTTGGTGAGAAACTAACTGCTTTTCCATTAAGATCTGAACAGGGCAAAAATGTAGCTTACCACCCCTATTCAGCATTGTACTGGAAGGGAAATACACAACAGCAAATGCTGTGAAGAAACAGGAATTCTCATTCATTGTTGATGGGAATGCAAAATGGTGCAGTCACTGGAAAATGATTTGCCAATTTCTTACAAAATTTGTTATACTCTCACCATATGATCCAGATATCGTTCTGTTTGGCATTTACCTAAATGGGTTGGAAAATTACACCCACACAATAACCTGCACATGAATTTTTAGAGCAGCTTTATTCAAAATTGCCCCAAATTAGAAGCAACCAAGATGCCGTTTAGTAGGTGAATGGATAAACAAACGGGTAAATCTATATTAAAAAATATTATTCAGTGATTAAAGAATGAGCAATTGAGTCATTAAAAGACATGGAGAAAATTTAAGTCATTAGTGAAAGAAGCCAATATGTAATGGCTAAATACCATATGATTCCAACTCTATGACGTTATGGAAAAGGAGAAAACTATGCAGATAGTGAAAAATCATTGATTGTCAGAGGTTTGTGTCTTCCTAACACTACTGCTTCTCAAGATTTTACGTTTTTTTTTCTTTTTTCTTTTTTTAAGACAAAAGAAATGCTGCTTGTAAGGTTTATAGTATTTGACTTTTTTCCCTAAAACTATTTCTGAAGTCAAAACTGATTGCTTATTCAACTATTAAGAATTTGTTGCACTGGCTTGTCTGGCTTAGCGGTTAGAGTGTAGCCCCACAGACCAAAATATCTTAGGTTCCATTCCCAATCAAGGGTACATACCTGGGTTGCAGGTTTGATCCTTGGCCCCAGTTGGAATCCTATGGGAGGCAACCAATCAATGTGTCTCCCTCATATCAATGTTACTGTTTCTCTCCCTCCCTCTCTCCCTCTCACTCTATCTAAAAGACAATGGAAAAATATCTTCTGGTGAGGATTAACAAAACAAAACAAAACAAAACAAAACAAAACAAAACAAAACAGAATATTTTTATTATTTTCCAGTTGTTTAGTGAAAAAATAATATGGTGACTGAAACAATGCTTATTCTTCTCAAAAATGTTTAAAGTTATTTGAATTTAAATCAGTAACATAATAAAAACAAAACAGCATGAATTTTATCTTATTACATGTCAGTGCCATTTGGATTAAAAATTCTATTTCCAAATAAAACCCACCAAAATTTACCAATATTTTTTGTTTTTCATATTTCTAAGAATATATTGAGCTTTGAAATACTATTTTCTTAAATTTGTATTTGCATTTAGGTAGTATCCACACAAATTATTATTTATTGAAATTATCAAAGGGGTAAAGAAATAACTTAGACAACATTTTGATTTTTTGTATTTAGTATCCAAAGAAGATAACTTTAGAAGCATTTTCAGTTGTTATGGCACAGTTGCTTGGAATTAGTCTGGGATTAACATATGATGACAACTATAATTGTTTCTGTCCAGGAACTGCATGCATTATGAATCCTCAAGCAATGTAAGGTGTTGTTTTTATCAAATTTATATTTTTTCTTAGGAAATTTGTCTTAGACTTTGATACATAATCACATGAAATATAACTTGAGTGAGAAGATTTTTATTAAAATATATGTGCTTATTTAAAGCTTATTAAATAAAATGAGGATTTGGTAGTGTAGAAAATGTGCTTAATATTTCTATATTCGATGTTATAATCTAGAGATAAAGTGTTTGTTGATAATGACTTCCTGGGGTATACTAGAACCTTGAGGGGAAAGGTATTTATTAATTTAAAAATATGCAACAAGCATTGACTGTGTTGTAGGGTTGTGGGTGTTTGCCTTACCAATGGTTAATAAGATAGATCAGTCCTAAATATCTTATATTAGTCCATTAGAGAGGAAATTAAAAAGTGGCCATAGAATAAACAAAATATAAATGTCTCATGGTAGGTGCCCAGAAAGAGACAAATGGGGAATACGTGGGGAGAAGAAACTTTCTAATAAAATGGTCTATGAAATAATTTTGTTGTGACCTAAAGAGAAGGAATAAATTTGGTCACGTAAAGAACTTGTTGAATACTTTTTAGGATAAGCAAGTGAGTGATACTTGGATAGCAAGAAACTTGAGAAACTCAACAGACTGGAACAAGGAGATTGTGGGGGAAGGGGGATAAAAATGAAAACAAAAGAAATAGCTAGGACTATAAGGAAATACGTATGAGGCATGAGGAAAAGAAAGTAAAATGCAAGGAGGCTAAAGGACAAGGAGTCAGGGGAAGAAGTCCAGGAAGTAACGAGCATAGGATATGTAGGAAAGAGTCTTGTCATGTAACCATGATGTGAGAGTTGGGATTTTATGATCAGTGTAGCAAACCATATCTTACATTAATTTATGCAGTATGGGTAATAAAACTTATCTTAAAAATGAATGAATAATATATCAGAGGGAACATCAGTATAGTGATATTTGGGAGATGATTCTCAATAATTACAGCAATTTATTAAGATTGAGAGAAAGGAAAATGGTAAGAATTATTTTTAGATTTTTGAATATCACAACTTATTAACAGATATTGAAATAAGCAAATGTTTTGGAAAGGAGAAAACGGGAAATTTTGAAGCAGTCTTTGTATGTTATTTTGGTGGTTCTGAGTCATTCATTAGAGGTAAGTGCCCAGTTATATAGGTCAGGATCTCTGAGGACAAGGGATCTAGAATATGTGAGCCATCAGCATATTCATGGGACTTACACCCATGAACAGATCATTTAGAAAGAAACTAAAAATAGTGGATGATGTGCCTTAAGATGTAGCTTATCATAGAAAGGAAGATGATATTGGAAGAACCAAGATAGAATGGCTCCTTATCTAGGGAGGACCATTTTTTTTAAGAAAGGGGAGAAGATGGAAGTCAGATGGTAAGGTCAGCATGGTATTCTAGTCTCCCCCAATTCTCTGACAAAATAGAGTAAAACTAGGAAAATAAACAAAAAGCAAAAGCATGTTCTGTTTCCAAAACTGGAATTCACCAAAGATACCAGCAGGTGGGGCCAATCTACTGACAAAATAAGACCACATGAAGTAAGTAGCTGTGTAGGAGGAAATAAAATCAACACAATGGGACCTCTGAAAATCTCACAGACCTGGGAGCTCAGAAATCATTGACTCATCTACATGCCCCAAACTTGTCCCCCTTGAGGCTGAAATATCAGTAAGCTCATGCCATTACAGGAGCCCAAATTGGTAGGGATATTGCAAACTGCAGGTGAGGGCAAAAGAATTAACATTTATTTCTTAAGATGCTGGTATGACCTTGGTCTCTGTGCTTTAGAAATCTGGTAACACCGAGGATGTAGCACCCAGATAATATTTAAAAAACACTCTTCTCCACTTGAAGAAGTAGAGACACAGGGCACCTTGGAGAAATGATTGATCTAGGGCTAAGACAGATAAAGTACAGATGGAGCCCGGAACATCTTGTGTCAGAATATAAGGAGGTGCTCAAGGAATTATGGTGATTTGTCAAAGGGACACAATGACCAGTTTGAAGGGGCTTCCTATAGCCAAATATGTGACCATTTGAATGTCATAAATAATAATAATAATAATAATAATGATGATGTATTATAACTCATTTAGTATAATAGGAAAACGTGAATAAATTGGAAAGTTAGAAATGAGGTATTTTTGTAAAACCAAAGCTCTTCTAGCCAAATAATTATTAACTGATAAGGAAAAATAAAGTAATTATAAAGTGAAGACTGGCAGACACACATTTAATCAACTAATCAATGTAATTCATATCAGTAATTAACAAATCATAATCATGTGCCATTTGTTAGGATTCAGTGAAAGAAACTCAGCAACACTCCTGTGATAACGTTGCATAACCTCAGCTAATTATGAGGAAGCATTTCATAAACTGAAATTGAGGGATGTTTTACCAAATAATATGCCTGTAATCATAATACTTATGAGGTCACAAAGTCTAACAAAAATACATAGAAACTAGACTAAGGAGATATGAGAACAAAGTGCAATGATTGATTCTGAACTTTATCCTTTTACTATAAAATCTCCAATATTGTGCTGAAGGGAAATTATGAATAAAATTTTAGGATTAGGTGTTAATAATGTGTCATTTTTTCCTGGTTTTAAAGTATCTGTTTTAGGAGAATTCATTTCTATGTAAGAATTATACATTAAAATATTTACAGTTATCAAAACATTCTGATGTTTGCTGGTAACTGTTTCAGGAAAAACTTTATTCTTTGGACTATATTTGTATAATTTATCTAAGTTTGAGATTGTTACAAAATTAAACAAAAGCTCATTCAACAGTACACGTAGAAATACAGAAATTTAAAAATAAAAGATAATTTAAGGCTTTTACATTTTATACATTTAATGTTAAGATATTTTAGTTGACCCTGGCCAGTTTGGCTCCATGGTTAGAGCATCGGCCTGCGGTCCAGAGAGACCCGGGTTCGGTTCCCGCTAAGGGCATGTATCTCGGTTGCAGTTTGTCCCTGGCACTGGTTGGGTTGTGTGGGTGGCAGCCACTTGATGTGTCCCTTTCACGTCGATGTTTCCCTCTCTCTCTCCCTCCCACTCTATCTGAACAACAACAACAACAAAAGATATTTTAATTGTTATCGCCCTGGCCAGTTTGGCTCAGCGGTTAGAGAGTCAGCCTGCGGTCCGGAGAGACCCGGGTTCGGTTCCCGCTAAGGGCACGTACTTCGGTTGCAGTTTGTCCCCGGCCCTGGTTGGTCGTGCGGGTGGCAGCCACTCGATGTGTCCCTTCACATTGATGTTTCTCTCTCTCTCTCCCTCCCACTCTATCTGTACAAAAAAATGGAAAAATATCCTCAGGTGAGGAAGATATTTTAATTGTTATCAAGGAACACAATCAACTATCTTTTATTTCTTCAGTTTTCCATATAAATTTCCTAGTATATTTAATATTCTTAATGATAATTAATTCTCTTTAGAATAATTATTATAATTATAATATTGACAATAATAATAAAAAAGTGAATAGGGACATAGTTAAATAGACTTTTTGTGTGCCGAACACTGTTGTGTTTTAATATATTCTGACTCATGTCACCTTAACTTCCTCTACTTGCTAGATATCTATTATTTTAAATTGCTATATAAATGAACTCATTGCTTACATTTATCATTATATTAAAATAAAAGCACTTTCTACTTCTTCTTGGCTTTTCTGTAATTGAAGTTGTACAGAATTAATAGTATTATATTGAAGAGTGTTACTTTGATAGTGATTTTACTCCATGTATCTGAAGAATATAATTTAATTTTAGACGTTCCCATGGTGTAAAGTATTTTAGCAATTGCAGCATGGATGGATATAATCGTGTAGTTTCACAGCCTGAATTCAAATGTCTTCAGAATCAAACTGTTTCAAATATGGCTCGCCAATCATCAGATACATGTGGCAATGGAAGAGTGGATAATGAAGAGCAATGTGATTGTGGCACTCCAGAGGTTAGTGACAAACATTAATAGCTGATCTAAAGATTTATTTTTTCTTTCTCATACAGTACTATAAATATAGATGTGATACAAAAGGGAAGGGCTTTTTGTCAGATGCTGCACCATTTAATCAAATATCTAAGACACAGAGATATGGGACACGTGAGAACTGACTCATCCTGAATTTGAAACATTTGAAGAATTTAAGTATGAAGTAATTATAGCATGGATTCAGTGAAATTTTCTTCATTGTGTAACCATTAACAGCAGCACTCACCCTTCTGTATCATAAATACCAGCAACATCAATAATGTAGTTATCACCTAAATCATATCCTGAATTCTTCCCAAGTGAGAGCATTGATTCCCTAAGTTATACAGTGTGTGTTTACCTCCTCTTCTCTTAATTTCAGTCCTTACATCTGGAGAACTTCATTTATTTTAACATGGTCGCACAGAATTGAATGAATAATAATCCATCATTTATTATTGTTATGTTTAATTTTTGCTATTATTATTTTTTTTCAGTTGTGTTTGGTAAAATAACTAATCAGTGAATATTGTCGTGCCTGCCTTCAGATACTTATCATGATGATGTTGTGAATGGTCAAGATTTTCCAGAAAAGATGAAAGCTCTGTAATTATTAGTAACAAAATTTTGTATAATTTGATTGGATTATATTTGTAAGTGAGTGACTCATGTTTTCTGTATTTTTATTAATTTTGATTGCTTGACCCCTCAGTACTTGAGCAATAAAATTGATACCTCCACCAATATAGTTAGACTTGCTGAAGTCTCACTATAATTTACTCAATTCATTCTTTATATTTTGAAGCTGTTTTATATGGTGCAAACTTATTTGCAATTGTTATACCTTCCTAGAAATTTAACTTTTTACCTTCAAATAGTGGATCTTCTTATCTCCAATGTTGCTTTCAGTTTTAATGTCTGTTTGGTTTGACATATCTATCTATATCTCCACCTCCATCTCCATCTCTGTCTCTAACTCTCTCTCTGTCTCTCTCCATCTCTGTCTCTCTATTTCTATCTCTAATTCTGTTTACACACTAGCTTCCTTTCATTTAGCATTTCCCCGATATTTCTCTATTCTCATTTAGTTATTCTGTACTATTAACTTCAATATGTACATTGTTTTAATTTATTTGATCTGTATTTGATTTATAAAATTATCACCTTAGACATTATCATGATTAATATTTTTGCATATTTAAAATGAACTGAAGTCCATAGTTTATTCTGATTTCCTTTGTTTTTACCAAATGGCTTCTTTCTGTCCCAAACTTCTCCAGGATACCTTTTTGTACATAGTTGTTATGACTCCTTACACCCCTCTAGAATGAATTTTTTATAAGTTAAATTATCTCAAAATTTTTATATTTTCTGTGTCCATTTTGTCACATTTGTTTTCTAATTTAATTTTAGCTTATTTCTTTTGACCTGTGTTTTTTATTTCCACTATTTATTTTTAGTGATTAAGTGGATATATGTTTTTTGCCTTCAGCGATTATCCTTTCATTTTTACCATGACTGTTCTTGCACATTTCCTGCTGCACATGTGCCTACATTTCTCAGGGGTGTATACTGATAAATGAATGTGCTATGGCCTTTCATCATATTCTAGTATGACCCTTTGTATGTCTGTGATGTCTGTGGTAACTTCTCCTCTTTCATTTCTGACTCTGCTCATGAGTCTTCTTTCTTTTTTCCTCATTGAGTATTGCTAGGAGTTTGCCAATTTTATTAATATTTTCAAAGAACCGGCTCTTTGTTGTATTAATTTTTTGGATAGTCTTTTTTCCCCTTTATTTCATTCAATTCTGCTCTAATTTTTATTATTTCTTTTCTTCTGCTGACTTTGGGTTACTTTTATCCATCTTTATCTAGTTCTTTCTTATTATTTTCTTTTATTATTATTTTCATTAACTATCTTGAATGTTGACACTATTGCAGATGTCCCCCATCCCACACCTTTTTGCCCACATTCACTTACCCCCACCCACTCCACCTCCCCTTCCCTGGCCTTCACCACACTATTGTCTATGGCCATGGGCTATGTATATATGTTTTTTAGGTAATTCCTTCACCTTCTTTATCCAGTTCTTCCCACATCCCTGGTTATTTATTAAAATTGGTTTTAGACAGAGGAAGGGGGGGGGGGAGAGAGAGAGAGAGAGAGAGAGAGAGAGAGAGAGAGAGATTTGTTATTCCACATATTTATGCATTTATTGGTTGATTCTTGTATGTGCCCTGACTAGGGATCAAACCCACAACCTTGCCATATTGGATGATGCTCTAATCAACTGAGCTACCTGACCAGGTGTCTATTACATAGACAATAGTGTGGTTAATGAAAATAATAATAAAAGAAAATAATAAGAAAGAACTAGATAAAGAAGGATAAAAGGTAATGTTAGGTTGTTTACTTAGGATTTCTCTTGTTTCTTTAGAAAGGCCAGTAATGATAAAAACTTTCCTCTTGTTACTGCTTTCACTGCATCCCAGAAGACACGTCGTATTTTCATTCTCATTTGTCTGTATATATCTTTTGATGCCACCTTTTATTTCTTCTTTGACCTAGTCAAAATTTTTATGGTAATTTAAATAATATATTTAAAGTTTTTGTTTTTTTATTACTCAGATTTAAAGATGCACTAAATGTTTATATTTTGAATCCTTTTAGAGCAATCTCGCTGAATTCAGTTATTAATTCCATTAGTGTTTCTTTAGAACAATGTTATCTGTTAAGAATATAATGTGAATTAAATATGTATTTTATGTTTTCCTATAGCTACATTATGGATGTTGGGATGGAGTGTATGTGTTTTGCATAGGAGATAAATAAACATAATGATTATTTAGAGATCATATGGTAAAATGTGGTATAATAACCCCCAAAGTATCCCATTTCCTAACATTCATAACTTGTGAATGTGTTATGGCAAAAAGAACTCTAAAGATATGATCAAGTTAAGGATCTTTAGGGGGAGAGATATCCTATGTTATCTGAGTGGGCCTATGTAATCACACAAGTCCTTATTAGAGGGAGGCAGGCGGGTTAGAGTCAGAGGCTATGTGACAATGATATTTGAAGATGCTATATTGCTGGTTTTGAAGATGGAGAAAAGGTCCATAAGCAAGGAATGCAGGTAGTCTCTAGAAATTGGAAAGGTAATGCAATGGATTTTCTCTAGAGCTTCTAGGAGGAATGAAGAACTTCCAAAATTTTCGTTTTAGACCAATGCGACCTCTCTTGGTCTTTTGACCTCCAGAACTGAAAATAATACATACATGTAGTTTTAAGTCACTAAGTTTATGGTAATTTTTTAGAGCAGAAATAGGTAATTAATATAAGACTGAATCAATTCTGTGTTCCTTGTGATGAACAAACTCCTTGAATGGGATTAAAGATTCCCTGTCAAACAGACTGCAGTTTTTTCTAAAGAGAACAATTTTGCTATCACAGCATGTGTAGATCCAATACATTGGCCATTTGGGCAAAATAATTTCTAACAAGACATTTGTTGCAACTTCAGGAGCAGCATCAGGCTGATGTGAGGTCAAGATTTAAGTCTTAAGAATCTGAAAGTAGGAATTATTAATGTGAGGAAGACATCAATACTTGAAGGAACCCTGTAAGAGGGACTTAATATACTGAAGGGTTCAAAGGAGCAGCTAATGATTTTCATCAAGTGGAACAGTGATATGATAGATTCAGCAATCAGAGCAGAAACTGTGGGCTGAGGAAAGTTTACAAGAGAGTTCTGTTTTTCTTAAATAATAAAGGCAGACCTCCAGATGTAATAAAATGTGGCCAAGGGGAATCATATCAGTGTTCAAAAATTTATCGCGTGCAAAAGCTTTTTACCTCTAAAGTCAAGTCCCAGATTAAGGTTTCCTGATAGAATGGGTATTCAGTCCTTAGGTTAAGGGCAGTGATGATAATCTGGAATAAGATGAACAAAGCATTCTGAATTATATTCACTTATGTTTCCCTTTTGACTAGCTTAGTTTTTTTAAATTGTGTATCATTAATATAGAAATATTTACAAATGAGAAATAACAGAAGAATACTTCAATCAAAATAGATGCATAGAGATATAAAGTAAACCAGAATGTGCATATCTGTTAAATTTTTAACACATTATTAACAAAAATAATAAATTGAAAAAGACATAAATGCTTAATCTTGCCTATACACTTTATTAATTTTATTTTATTTTATTTTATTTTTTACTTTTTTTTTAATCCTCACCCGAGGATATTTTTCCATTTTTTTGTACAGATAGAATGGGAGGGAGAGAGAGGGAGAAACATCGACGTGAAGGGACACATCGAGTGGCTGCCACCCACACAACCAACCAGGGCCGGGGACAAACTGCAACCGAAGTACGTGCCCTTAGCGGGAACCGAACCCTGGTCTCTCCGGACCGCAGGCCGACGCTCTAACCGCTGAGCCAAACTGGCCAGGGCCACTTTATTAATTTTAAAATATTACTATCAGTCTAGTAAAACATAACTCTTGCACTGAGAAGGAAACTATATAGAAAGAAGGAAATCAGAGTATCTTATTATAAAAAGCATGTACTATTTTTGTACTCCATGATTCCAATAATTTTTGAATTAATCTTTAATATAAAATTTTAGAGCTAAAAAATTGACAATTTTCTCTGAAATATTTTTTAAAATACTAATATGTTATAATTTGGAAACTTCCATTTTGTCACAATCATATAACTTGTTATATATTCCCAAAGTTAGTTTTTAGAAGACTTAATAATATGGAAAATACTTATGATGTATTCAATAAAAATAATAAAACAATTCATTGTGTATATGTTTACAAAACCAAAGAGAATCAAAAGTAATTGCATTAAATTATTAACCATTCAATTTCTTGAGCATGGAATCATGAATAATTTATTACCATTATTTTTTATACTGAAAATACAGTGTTTAAATATTTTTTTTTTAGAGAGAGAGGAAGGGAGAGACAGATGGAAACATTGATATAAGAGTGATATGTCAATAGGCTGCCTCCTGAACATACCCTGCTGGGGATCCAGCTCACAACCTGGGGACGTGCCCTGACTGGGAATCAAACTGGCACCTCTTAGTCCATGGAACGACACTCAATCCACTGAGCCATACTGCACAGGCAAAATATATTGTTTAAATTAAGCAGTGTTATGAATAAATAAAGAAGTAAAAATGTATACTATAATTAGAGACAAACTTTAGTATCTTTTGACAAAGAAAATAATCTATTTGATTGAAAATTTCTATTATTTAACTTGACTGTATTTGCTTTTAGCAATGTACTTTTAAACGATGCTGTAATCCTACAAGCTGTACACTGATTGGAGCGGCAGAATGTGGCAGTGGAGCATGCTGTGATAACAAAACTTGTGTGGTAAACTTTCAGAATATTACATTATTTTTCTTCATGAAATTTTTGTCTTTTTGTGCATTTGTTGTTTTAGTTAAAAAACAAAACAAAACTTGTTTCACACACCGTTCAAATATATTACTGGATGTACCCAATTCATACTTTAGAATTTAGATGATGTCCTTAGGTCTTTTTCTCCCTAATATTTAGCTCTACCACACACTGTATTGTTTTAATTTATACTCAAGATCCATGTAGTTATTACGTTCAATATCAATTTCAGATTATTTAGGTGTTATGAATTCTTCTTGGTCATTCCTGAATGAAGTTCTTCATCATGAAACCACTATGACAAAATTATAAATGAGCCACTCAATACACACTTGACATGTGATGATCGAATAAAAAACAGTAATTAAAAACAATGAAAATAACAGAAAAGGAATCCGTGTAGAATAGTCAGCAATATGTAGCATATAAAATAGTGAAGGTTATTTTTGGCAAACACTCCTAGCTTGGAAGTGGATTGAATTGACTTCCCTTGGGAAGTTTTTCCATTAAATTTTTCTCTGTAGCCACATTTGAGAGGTGATTGGTTAGGATTTATCTTCTGTGGATTGCATCATTATAGCATCTCATTTTGTGTCACTTTCGGGATTCTGTGACAAATATTAAAGCTGATTAATAAGAGATTTTGCTTGCCAGATTTATTTTTTCTGTCAATGAAATCTCTCACAACATTATTCTACTTTTTTCTCTATGTGTCCTTTTTTACTCTTTCAGCTAGTAATTAGAACCACTGGTCATTTATTTTTAAGACACATGAACGTAGAGGCCAGCGTAGGGTTTCTCTTTCTTTCTTTCCTTCTTTCTTTCCTTTTTTCTTTCCTTCTTCCCTCCCTCCCTCCCTCCCTCCCTCCCTCCCTCCCTCCCTCCTTCCTCTTCCTTCCTTTCTTTCTTTCTTTCTTTCTTTCTTTCTTTCTTTCTTTCTTTCTTTCTTTCTTTCTTTTCTTTTCTTTTCTTTTCTTTTCTTTTCTTTTCTTTTCTTTTCTTTTCTTTTCTTTCTCCCTCCCTCCCTCCCTTCCTTCCTTCGTCGTTATTTTTAAATTTAATTAATTAATTTTTGTTACAGATGTTTCTCCTTTTCCCTCCACTGATATCCCCCTCCCTCACCCTCCCTGACCTGTCCGTAGCTTTGTTGTCCTTGTCCACTGTTCATGCATACATGCATATAAGTTCTGTGGTTTATCTTTCCCCCCACCCCCTCTTCTGGGGATTGTCAGTTTGTATCCCACTTCCACGTCTCTGGGACTACCCTATTCCTCAGATTGTTATGTTCATTATATTCCACAAATAAGTGAGATCATGTGATATTTGTCTTTCTCTGCTTGGCTTGTTTCACTTAGGATAAAACTCTCCAGATCCCTCCATGTAGTCTCAAAGGATAAGAGATCATTCTTTCTTACAGATGCATAGTACTCCATTGTGTATATGTACCACTGCTTTTTTATCCATTCGTCTACTGATGGACATTTGGGCTGTTTCCAGATCTTAGCTACTGTAAATACTGCTGCTATAAACATGGGGGTACATATATTTTTTCTGATGGGTGTTCCAGGCTTCTTAGGGTATATTCCCAGAAGTGGGATCACTGGGTCAAATGGAAGTTCAATTTTTAATTTTTTGAGGTAGCACCATATTGTTTTCCATAGTGGCTGCACTAGTCTGCATTCCCACCAGCAGTGTACTGGAGTCCCCTTTTCTCCACACCCTCACCAACACTTGTTGTTTGATGATTTGCTGATGGTGGCCTTTCTGACAAGTGTGAAGTGATACCTCACTATTGTTTTAATTTGCATCTCTCTGCTGATTAGTGATGTTGAGGATTTCTTCATATGTCTCTTAGCCATTTGTATGTCCTCTTTGGAAAGGTATCTATTTAGCTCCTCTGCCCATTTTTTAATTGGGTTCTTTGTCTTCCTTTTGTTGAGCTTTATAAGCACTCTATATATATTGGAAATTAACCCCTTATCTGATATATCATTGGCAATTATGCCCTCCCATAGAGTGGGATGCCTTTCCATTTTGGTGGTTGTTTCTTTTGCTGTGCAGAAGCTTTTAAGTTTGATGTAGTCCCCATGTGTTCATTTTTTCCTTTGTTACTGTTGCCTTACGTGAGGTATCAATGAAAATTCTGCTGCTATTATGTTTGAAATTTTGTTGCCTACATTTTCTTCTAGGATTTTTATGAATTCATAGGTCACATTTAAGTCTTTTATCCATTTTGAGTTTATTCTTGTGTATGGTGTAAGTTAATGGTCTAGTTTCATTTATTTTGCATGTAGCTGTCCAATTTTCCCAACACCATTTATTAAAGAGGCTGTCTTTACTCCATTATATGCTCTTGCCACCTTTGTCAAATATTAATTGAGCATATTGTCTTGGGTCCATTTCTGGGTTCTCTATTTCTTTCCATTGATCTATCTGCCTGTTCTTGTGCCAGTACCAGGCTGTTTGATTACAGTGGCTTTGTAGTATAACCTGAAGTCTGGTAACGTGCTCCCTCCAACTTAGTTCTTCTTTTTCAAGATTGTTGTAGCTATTCAGGGTCTTTTTGGTTCCATATGAATGTTTGAAGTATTTTTTCTAGTTCTGTGAAGTATGTTGTTGGTATTTTGATGGGGATTACATTGAATCTATAGATTGCTTTGGGTAGTATGGACATTTTAATGATGTTAATTCTTCCAATCCATGAACAAGGTATGTGCCTCCACTTTTTAATATCTTCCTCTATTTCTTTTTCAATGAACTGTAGTTTCCAGCAAATAGGTCCTTTACTTCTTTGGTTAAGTTTATTCCTAGGTATCTTAATTTTTTTGCTGTGATGGTAAATGGGATTTTTTTTTTTTCAGTTTCTCTTTCTGTGAGTTTATCATTGGTGTGTAAGAATGCCATCAATTTCTTGTCTTTAATTTTGTATCCTGCTAGTTTGCCAAATTCATTTATTAAGTCTAGTAAATATTTGATGGAGTCTTTGGGGTTTTTTACACATAGCATCATGTCATCTGCGAATAATGACAGGACAGTTTCACTTCCTCCTTTCCAATTTGGATCCCTTTTATTTCTTCTTCCTGTAGGATTGCTGTGGCTAAGACTTCCAGTACTTTGTTAAATAAGAGTGGCGAAAGTGGGCATCCTGTTCCTGTTCTTAAGAGAAATGCTTTTAGTTTTTGCCCATTGAGTATGATGTTGGTTGTAGGTCTTTCATATATGACCTTTATTATGTTGAGATATGATCCCTCTATTCCCACATTGCTGAGCATTTTTATCAGAAATGTGTGCTGGATTTTGTCAAATGCTTTTTCAGTGTCTATTGATATGATCATATAATTTTGATCTTTCATTTTTTTATGTGGTGTATCGCATTTATTGATTTCGAATATTGTACCAGCCTTGCATCCCTGGGATGAATCCCTCTTGGTCATGGTGAATAATTTTTTTTGATGTATTGCTGGATTTGATTTGCTAGTATTTTGTTCAGGATTTTGGCATCTATGTTCATCCGGGATATTGGCCTGTAGTTTTCTTTCTCTGTATTCCTTTTCTGGTTTTGGAATTAGAATTATGCTGACTTCATAAAATGAGTTTGGAAGTCTTCCTTCTTCTTGAATTTTTGAAATAGTTTGAGGAGAGTGGGTGTTAGTTCTTTTTTGAATGTTTGGTAAAACTCCCCCTTGAAGCCATCTGGGCCTGGGCTTTTGTTTGATGGGAGAGTCTTCATTACATCTTCAATTTCTTTTGGTGTTATTGGTCTGTTCAAGTTTTCTCTCTTCCTGGTTTAGTTTTGGGTTACTGTGTGTTTCTAGAAATTTGTCCATTTCGCTTAGATTGTCAAATTTGTTGCCATATAATTGTTCATAATATTTGTTCACAATCTTTTGTATTTCTGTGGTGTCAGTTATTATTTCTCCTCTTTCATGTCTGATTTTGTGTATTTGGGTTCTCTCTCTCTGCTTCTTGGTGAGTCTAGCTAAGGGTCCGTCAATCTTGTTTATCTTTTCGAAAAACCAGCTCTTTGTTTCATTGATCCTTTGAATTGTTTTTTTGGTCTTCATGTCATTTATTTATGCTCTGGTCTTTACTATTTTCATCCTTCTACTTGCTCTGGGGTTTTGTTTTTGTTTGCTTTCTAGTTTTTTAAGTTGTCAGGTTAGATAGTCTATTAGAAATTTTTCTTGCTTCTTAAGGTAGGCCTGTAGTGCTATGAACTTCCCTCTCAGAAGTGCTTTCACTGCATTCCATAAATTTTGTGTAGTTGTGTGTTCATTTCCATTGGTTTTCAGGAAGTTTTAATTTCTTTCTTGATCTCCATGGTAATCCATTCATTGTTCAAAAACATGCTATTTAGCCTCTATGTTTTCAATGTCTTTGCATGTTCTTGTTGCAATAGATTTCTAGTTGCATGCCATTGTGATCTGAGAAGATACTTGATATGATTTTATTCTTCTTGAACATGTAGAGACTTAGTTTGTGTCCTAACATGTGGTCTATCTTTGAGAATGTTCCATGTGCACTTGATAAGAATGGGAATTCTGCAGTTTTGGGGTGTAATTCTCTGTAGATATATATCTATTAAATCCATTTGATTTAGTGCTTCATTTAGAGTATGTGTTTCTTTGTTAATTTTTTGTCTAGATTATCTATCCAGTGATGTCAGCAGGGTGTTGAAGTCCCCTGCTATGTTGATTTCTTCTTTGAAGTCCTCCAGAAGATTTTTAATATATGTTGGTGCTCCTATATTGGGTGTGTATATATTTACCAAGGTTATATCTTTTTGTTGGATAGTTCCTTTCAATTTTATGTAATGGCCTTCTTTGTCTCTAGTTATAGTCTTCATTTTGAAATCTAATTGATCAGATATGAGTATTGCTACCCCAGCTTTTTTTCCCTTTCTGTTTGCTTGGAAGATTTTTTTTGATTCCTTCACTTTCAACTTATGTGAGTCTTATGTTGTGAGGTGGGTC